TGCGAGCAGACAGAGGAACCCTGGTGTCCCTCTGTTTGCTCAGAGGAGGTGAGCTGAACGGATGGACTGCAGAGGTGTGAGCAAGGTGTGAAAGTTACAGTTTGTTTTCCAAAGGCTTATTTTTAAATGGCTTTTCATTCTTCCTCGTTGAGCACTTCCTACGTGTGACTGCTACTTGGTGTTAATTTTTCTATTAAAATCGCTCAAGAATTACTTAATGGGCATCATTTTTTCCTCATCCAGTGTCACACCTACACTAGTTGGTCATGGTAAAAGAAGAAATCAGGCTTTCACTACAAAAATCCTTCTCTTTCAACGAACTGCTGCCCTGCAAAGCAGCTCTCCTACTTATTTTTTGTCCTATTTGTGTAGTTAAATATGCACATGCACAATAATAATAGTCGTAGATAATTTGAGTTTCAACTTTACAGAGAGTTGAAAAACGATTTGTAGCTCTAAAATGGTTTAAATCTTATTTATCTGATAGATTCCAGTTTGTAAATATAAATAATGAATCTTCTTCATACACCAGAATTAGTCATGGAGTTCCTCAAGGTTCAGTGCTTGGACCAATACGCTTTACTTTATATATTCATTCAACCTTTATTTAGACAGGTAAATCCCATTAATCCCATCCCATATTAATATATGCTTCCATTAGGTAAAGTTATTGTAATGATGATGATCCACAGTTATATTTGTCCATGAAACCCGATTAATCTAATCAGTTACTTAAGTTACAATCATGTCTTAAAGACATAAAAATTTGGATGATCCTAAATGTTCTGCTTTTAAACTCAAACAAGGCTGACATTTTAGTTATTGGACATGAACATCTTAGGAATAAATTTTCCAGTATTTGTCCCTCCTTGGATGGCATCTGGCCTCCAGTTCAAATGTTAAAAGCCTTGGTGTTATTTTTGATCAGGACATGTCTTTTATCTCCCACATTAAAAATGTTACTAGAACCATCTTCTTCCACCTGCGTAATATCACTAAAATTGGAAACATCTTATCTAAAAATTATGTAGAAAAACTGGTTCATGCATTTGTCACGTCTAGACTGAAATATTGCAATGATTTATTATCTGGGTGTCCAAATACTTCTTTAAAAAGTCTTCAGATAATCCAAAATGCTGCTGCAAGAGTTTTAATGAGCGTTAATAGGAGAGATCATCTCTCTCCAGTTTTAGCTTCTCTCCATTGGCTTCCTGTCAAATCCAGACTATAATTCAAAATCCTATACTTCTAACCTACAAAGCTGTCAACAACATAGCTCCATCCTATATTACAGATCTTATTGTTCCATATTTTCCCAACAGAGCACTTCCCTCTCAGACTGCAGGTTTACGTGCAGTTCCTAGTTTCTAAAAGCAGAATGGGAGGAAGATCTTTCAGTTATCTGGCTCCTCTCTTATGGAAACAACTTCCTGTTTCTGTCCATAAAACTGACACATTGTCCAGTTTAAAGACTGGGCTTAAAACTTTCCTTTTTGATAATAGTTGGGGTTGGCTTGGGTTTCCTGATCTATCCCTTAGTTGTGCTGCTATAGGCTTAGACTGCTGGATGACAAACTGACCACATTTCTTCACTATGCTACTGTCTTTACTTGATCTACTCAGCCTGTTTTGTATTTGTGATTTTTTTTTCCTTAACATGTTTCTTCCAATAGGATGCACCTGCACCTACATCTAGACCTGTCATTCTGTGTTTGTTTGCCTCTCCTTCCTGTCCTCTGAAATCCAGCCAGTCAAAAGCAGATGGCTGTCTATCTTGAGCTTGGTTCTGCTGGAGGTTTCTTTCTTTTAAAGGGGAGTTTTTCCTTTCCACTGTTGCCATTGTGCAAGACGGTGGCGCAACTGGTAGAGCTCTCAGTG